TAGTAGTAGTAGTAGTAGTAATGGCCAGTAGTGATGGTAGGAGGTGGTGTAGGAGATGGAAAAACATCTGGATCAAGAGCGTGGGTGGGTAGGAGCAGAAGCAGCAGCCGTTTTACTCACGGCAGCATCACCCGGGGCCTGCAGCAGCAGTGTTCCGCGCTGGTCCATGCCGAACTCTTGCTCGAAACCCTGCACTGGCCACTTCGCGGACGCTGGGAAGGTTCAGGGCGGAGGACCAAGGAATTCTGGTGCTTCGAGCCCTGAAAGGGTGAGTTCAGTCACCGCTGGTGTAGCACTACGGATGCCTGAAGAATTGATTCCCATACTCCCCCCCAAATTTCCACCATACCCTTAGACTGTGCAGCTGGAGCCTTCGACGCTGAGCTTCATTAAATCCCCTGATGCCCCCAAAAGAAGATCTTAAACGACACAGCCTACACTGCGCTGCTTAGCTGCCTGCCGCGAGTTGACCGCATGGATCTCGAAGGAGGGAGCGATTTCCTCAGCGTGCCCCAAACTGAGGTTTCGGCTTTGAGCTTGAGCATCAAGTTAGGGTTCAGGGCTGGATTTTGGGGAATCTCTACGGGACTCGTGGGGCACGATCTTGCTGCAATGATACCATCGCTTCAAGAAGGCTGTAGATCCTGGAGTGCAGCGGCAGCGGAACCACCCGAAACGGAGCAAAACCCTAAGAACGAATACCATACCCCCAAACTCTAAACCCTAAAACTCCAAAGACAGCAGAATAAGATGGCTCCTAATTAGGTTTTAGGGTTTAGGGTCCTAGATGTGAATTTTGAAGACCCACGCTCTCCCCATGTTTGGCTCCCGGCGATGTCAACGTCGCACGCCGCGAACGTAAAATACCTGGTGCTGTTGTGTTGCTGACTGTGGCATCATGCAGCATTGAAGCCGCAAAGAAGCAGCATGCACAGTGGCACGGCGAACCAAACACCTGTGATGAGAAACCTTTCCTGAATGTGGTACAAGTAGAGTCCGAAATGTTGGGGGGCTATCGGGAGGATACCATGGTCACAATGACTGGATATCAGAAAGGAATATCGAGGCAACACAGCGCAGACTAGTGCCATCGATTGACTAGTGTCATACAAGATTGTATCGAAGTGCAGCTAATATGTTCGTTGCGGAGGGCCCCGATGCTAGGACACAATTCCATTGGCTTTTTCCTCCAACTTCTGTCTTGGGAAGTGCTCTCTACCATCACTTACTATGACCGTTTTGTCTAGTTGTACGTTTTGGTCGGTTGTAACAGTCTGGCGTGACCATGCTGCTACACTTCCGGGGTGTGTCGCAGCGCATCTGTTGGGGGGGTTCCTGTGTTACAGCTCCAATTACAGCTTCCCTTTCAGCTCCCGCGCACAATGAGTAGATTCTCCCGAAATATGGTAGAGTGGAGAACACGTATGCATGTTGTACAAAACACTACTCTAGAGCGGCGAGCGGGCGACGACGCCCTGATGCCCAAGGGGACATGGTTCCTTCAAATGCTAAAACAAAAACCGTGGGCAAAATCCCAAGCTTGCTCCTTCAGGTAGAAAGCCCGCCTCGCAAGGAAACCGTGCCTCCCAAGAAGAAGTAAAATTGACTAAACCCGAAACTAACCATAAACAGGAGCAATCAGCCAAACTCTCCTGGGCCCTGCAACTTGGGGTGCGAAAAATGCCTACACTAAGGCTCTTACTGGTTAGCTGATTAGAATAGGGTTGTGAATGTGGGTTTATGGAGTTTTATGCGGTTCTACAAGGAGGGTTTGGGGTTATTGGGTAGCATGGTGAGATAGGGACTATACGGGACCATATATATGGGCTCAAGACTAACCTCAAGCCAGACGCTCGAAACCGCGGACAGCGGCCCTGACATCCTGATCGGCCGCTCATGAACCCTGAAACCTCAAAGCCAAATCCTAAAATCCAGATCCTAGACCCACGGACGGACGTATACAAAAATGCACCCCCCCAATCCAAAAAAATAATCTAACGTTTAAGACCCCAAAATTCAAGCCTATGAAATTCGATAAAGACAAATGTGGAAAAAAAAACCCTCAAACAAAACCCAATGAAACCTCCTCGCCCGGTAACCCGAGCCAGCCGCACCAAAATCGGTTTCGCACGCTTTGGTGCACTTCCACTGATCTCGGCGGCTAGGCCATCCCAGGGCAGCAGGGTTTGAAGTTCATACCCTAAATTCCTAAACCCTAAACCCTAAACCCTAAACCCCTAAACCGCTAAACCCCTAAACCCTAAACCCTAAACCCTCAACTGGGTTTAAGGTGTAGGAACGTTTCGGGCCAAGGCGACAGTCGGACCCCCAGAGACGAGAATGCAAGGAGCCGACTCAGGGTTCCTGGCCCTGGTGAGAATTTAGGGTTTAGGGTTTGGGGTTTGGAGTTTAGGGTTTAGGGTTTAGGAATTTAGGGTTTAGGGTTTAGGGTTTAGGGTTTAGAGTTTAGGGTTTAGGGTGTAGGAAAGAAGAGCTTTAAGCTTCGGCTTTCCGGCATTTAGGATTCAAGGCTTAGGAAGAAGGGTTTTCGGCTTCGGTTTCAGCGGTTAGGGCTCCCCAGCTCTTGCTAGGTTTCGGCGGTGTGGATCCCAACTTAAAAACCAGGTCGCGCGCTTCGGCTTACGGCTTATGAGTGCTTCGCAAGCATTGATTTAGGGCTTAGGTTGATGTTTTCCCATCCAGGCTGTTCATGTTGCATCAGGGGGCCCAACATCTCATGCTAAACCCCGAAACCCTTCTGGGACCTAATGAGGAATCCTACACCATAAACTCTAGACCTTCTGGGTTTAGGGTTTAGGGTTTACGGTTTAGGGCCCGCGTTGGAGACCTGTCAAGGGACTCCTATCCTCAACAAGCTTAAACCTGACCCCTAGCCTCGAAGCCTTCTGTCCCAAGCCTTAAACGAGTTTAGGCTTTTGGGATTTAGGGCTTCCTTAAACACCGCAGCCCAGGACCGTACATCCAAAACTCTTGCAGCTCGATATCCTAAAACCTACCGATGGGTCCGGGGAGGGGTGTTGCCAGAGTTTTTAAGCATAGGCCCCGTATTGGGACATCTTGCACGTTAAACCTTAGAGCCATGAGCTAATCTAACTATTACCAAAACGGCTCCTTCGGTTCCTTATTATAACTAAAGCATACTGTACCCCAAACCTCGAGTCGAATTGTTGCGGCTCTCCGATGCCGCAGGGGCCGAAAGACTTAGTTAAAGTAAACCTGATCTAGCTCGAGCTTCCTAAAGTCTCTAGAGCATTAAGAACCCCAAACCTCAACCTTCGGGACCGAAACTTGGCACTCGGCTTCAAGGCGTTCAAAGCATGAGGCGTCACGATTGCTTCTCCGATGTTCACAAGGAGGTACATGAGAACGTCCTGGTGCAAGCCGCCCAGAGATGTGGTTGCGCGGGGCAACAACGAGCACGCGTCGATCTCTTCCTTGCTCTTCTTCTGTGCTTTGGTCTTCGGGGCAGCGTCACTCTTGAAATGACTTTCCAGGTCCACTCCGCAATCCTCCAAGGCAGCCTCGCAAGCTCCGCATAATTCCGCGGAGCCTTTGATGAGCGAATAGCTTTTCTCAGCCCTTGCTGCCAGTTCGAGTGCCAAGCCCTGCTTGCGATGAGCAGCTGCCTTCTGCAGCTTTTCACTCGCACTCTGTTTCACCGGCATCTGGCGATGAGGTAATCTGAACACAGCACGTAGGCTACACTACTCCGGTTCACCTGGGATTTGAGAGAGAAGTTATTCAAAAAGAGAGGTCTTCGCTCAAGACTGCAAACTACCGCTGAAACCTGAGACCTCAAAGGCCAAGATCTATTCGCACCTCTTGGGATGCAAACTGTACCCTGCACTAGATCTCAAATCAGAATGCAAGAGAAAAGTAAGCCTTTCCAATCCCCTGCCCCCACCTGCCCAAGAACCCTCTGACACAAGAATTACCAGCCCTTCTACCAAACTCAACAAGGAAACCGAAACAGCCCTGTTTCAATTAAATCCCTTTAGCTTCGTCATGATCATAGCTCAATGATTCGTTCCGGTATCTTATCATATACCCGAAGCCCCATTATGAGCCCTGGAAGCCCGAGCACTAAGTAAGGAATCCGGGTTCTGCGAACGGGAGCAGGCCAAATAGGTTTCTCTCCGAATTAGCACTTTCTTAAGTCCAAGACCCTAGATGCCCTAAACCCTAAACCCGAGATGTCTAGATCCTGAATCTGAGACATGGCCCACATGTTTCGCTACGTCCTACATCCGAAAGCGCGAACCCTTAAGAGAACCCGTAAGAAGCCTCAAACTCCACCAATAGTAGGTTCTGTCCCTCCCATAGTCTTAGTTTATGAGCCTCCGTGGCTTGCGGCGTAGGGGTTCGCGTTTAGGGCTTAGGGTTTAGGTGTAAGCTTTAGGGCTCCCTGCTTCCAGAAGTCTTGACCACTTGAAAGGTCGATTTGGAAGGCCTTGGACGGTTTAGGGCTTAGGGTTTAGGGGTTTAGGGCTTTCGGGTAAAACCCAAAACCCAAAAGCCGAAATCCTCGACCCGTAAAAGCCCGAAAGCCTCAACCCCCAAATGCTCAACTGGAGCAGGGTTCGGCGCTAGTGATCGGGTCGAGGTCTGGAGGTTAATGTAGGCCTAGGGATGATTCAGCAACTCATCAAGTAATTCAATGGCATACCCTTATGGCCGCTATGTAAGTATAGCAAAGTATACCCTCAAACCCTGTTCTAGTTGCTGAGGCCCCTACATCAACACAATTTGCAGCCCCAAAACCCATCATCGAACTTCTGGAGCCCTTACAGAACCCTATACCCAAAGTAAACGGCCCTAAACCCTACACCCTAAACCCTATACCCCAAAGTAAAAGGCATCTGTATTTTGGAGTTGGGGTTTTGGAGTGTCGGGTGATCAGGTGAGTATCTGGCGTGAATAGATTCCTACATTATCTCCTAAGGGTTATAGTATACTATACTTATAATAAGGAACCCCCAAAATAGTATAAGATAGTGATAATAAGGAACCCCCACAATAGTATAGGTAAAAATTTAGGCCCCTAGATTATACCCCGGAACCCTGTTCGAAATACCAAAGGACCCCCTTCATTACGGGCTTCAAGGCTCTAGCAACATGGGGGGGAGGCTGCTTGAACAGGCTCCTATACCAGAAGGGCTAGTAGCCGGCTTAGCCCTAAACCCTAAACCCTAAGACCTTCATGTCGAGTTCGGCGAGGAGGTGCCGGAAATTGGAGTTCAGGGCTCGGGGGAACGGGTTTGCAGACGTTCCGACTCAGGGCTGAGCCACTCTACTTGCTGAAACAGGCGCTCAACCTCTNNNTCTCATGCTGAGCCCATGGCTCAAAGGCTGAAGCACGGCATGGCTTATAGGACTGTGTGGCAGTATAGAAGCCCTTCACAGCAGAAGCCAGCTTGCGACACACATACATTCTGCGTGTAGCTGAAAAAGG